TAAAGCATATCAAGTGAAAAAAATTCTAATTTACACTGCGTAGGTCGAAGAATTCGACATCAATTACTGGGTGCGTTATAGGTAACGTGTAATTATAATCTAAATCTCTTCACGTGGACGAGCCCGAACATTTATTTTTTGCGGATATTGTGTGTGATAGTCTTGGAAAACATGTACATATCTTACATTGATTCTGTTTACCTGCCGGACATGGTCTGGAACCCGAATAATTCTTGAACATATAATGTTGTTTTCATGGTTCATGTAAATTGCGATTGGATTCACCGTAAATCACAATAGCTTCAGTTTTTCGTTCCAAGGCCAACCATTTTGAAAAACACAAATTCCAATCTATACTAAATACAAAATACAACGAACGTCGATTAAATACTAAATAGAAACCAGTTTGAAAACTAACGAAACGCGAACTATTTTAAAACAAATACGAGGTGTGTTCAAAAAGTAAGGCGACTTTGAAGTTTTATCAAAAAATATTTATTTATTTACCAAAATTAATGTTGCTTCCTTAAAAGTAATCCCCTCCAGATATCAGACACTTGTGCCAACGTTTTTTTAAATGCTCGAAGCACTTTCTGATATGGCTTTGAGTTCTTCCAGCGATGTTTCCTTCACCTAAGCGGTCGTTCCAAACGTTCTTCCTTTCATGGGTTTCTTGAGTTTTGGGAACAGGAAAAAATCGCAGGGGGCCATATCCGGTTAATATGGTGGCTGAGGCATGATCGTGGTATTATTTTTGGTCAAAAAGTCAGACACAAGCACCGATGAGTGAGCAGGTGCATTATGGTGATGCAAAATCCACAAATTCTGCACATTTTTTTAGTATTGTTTCTCGCAAAACCGGCTCATAACTTCAAGGTAATACTTGTTATTGACGCTACGACCTTGTGGTAAGAACTTTTGATCTAGTACGCCACAATAATCGGCTTTGGATTCTCCCATTGGGACTACTGGACTTTGGTTTCGACATCATAACCAGTTATTACCTTTTTGAGCATATCAGGATGATCATTGACGTCGTTTAACAGCTCTTGAGCGATACTCCTTGGACAGTCCTTCTGTTGACCAGCTTCGGAACATATTTTCCTACTACACGTTTCATGCCCAAAACTTCGAAAAAAATTACATGGCACGAGCCAATAGATATGCCGAGGTCCTCAGCCACTTCTCTAATAGTGATTCGGCCATTTGTTTCACTTCTTCAACGCTTTCATTAGTTCAAAGTGCATAGGCGTCGAAGCGAGGTTCGCCATCGAAGTGGACTCACCATATGCCTTTGTTAACATTTCAAGTGTGTGTGACATGTGTACCAATATAACAAAAAAAAATAGAATATCGGATATACGTAAGTAGTCCGCCCAAATACAAAATTCACCTTACTTTTTAAACACACCTCGTATATCTTAATGCTGTAAAATCCAGGTATCTCAAACGGAATTTTGTTTTTGATTTTTAGACAAGTAGTAAATCTGGTTTTGAAGGTCTCGTTGTCTTTCGAGGGTCTCTACTGCTTCCATCTTGCCCACATCTGAGTTCCATACTCTTTCAAACACGATTCATAGCAAAGCTGAAAATCTTCTACACTGATAAATGTATCATCGCACCAATTTTCTGAGACGGAAAAATCAGCTGATGAAATTCGATTTGAAACCACAAACTACCTTATCCTTTTCTATCAGAATCTGCGAAAAAGTCCGTTACTAAAATTTTTTGGCTCTACGCACTGACTAAGATTGACAAACCAGGATTACCCCTTCGAAATATTGTCAGCCTCATTGATTCTCTAGCAAATATCTAGCTTCTATAGTAAAACCCTTTTCAGTGAAAATTGACAGTTTCGTACCTAATCGCTTTCATTTCATTGAACAATTAAAACCATTACATTAGATCCAAACGACATTCTGTTTAATTTCGAAGCAGCATTCCCCTTTACTAAATTCCCTAATCCTGAAAAATGCTTGTCTGGAATATATATTTTTTTTAATTGTGAAATTTATGAATAAACATCTCAGAAGTCATTGGGGTTGAGTGTAATGAAACGTTAAAGAAATTTTTTTAAAAATCTCTAGCGAAAAGTAGGTGATATGAGATACTTCCGCGATACCCTGTATAACAAACAAACAGCTATTGTACGGTAAAAAGGCGCCAAATTGAAATGACGTATAAGCTATTAATCGAATTCGTAATAAATTTAACGCCGATGAAAATGTTTTATGGTAATGGATTTTCGATATCAATTAATTAAATTACTTCATTGTTGTCGGAGACACCTCACGGATTGGCGTTAAGGGATTTTGGGGAATATAATTGCGCTCTACGCGAATGGTCTCTAAAAGCCAACGATTTATTTACAACATCTATAAACTACACTTGTTCAGTTTAGTTTTATGTTACGCTCGGATAATAGTCTAGGTAATGAGTTTTAAATGACGATAATTGATCTAAATTATGTGTTATAGCTCACTGGATTCGAAATTATATCTAAATCATTGTGCGGAAAAAATGGATTGGTATATTGAAACTTTCAAAAGTTATAAACAATTAATGATAGTAAAGACTAATGTTTAATTTTTTGCTAATTGTTCGTAATCTGATTTTTTTTAACTTTGAAAAAAATATTTATATAAAATTATTAATAATTTGAAATTAATGTTGCATAACCTGAACAATTCAGAAAAACTTCCTTAAAATTAATAAAGACGGTTAGTAATTAACAACTTTTTCATTGACGTCCTATATCATAGCAAATTAAAAAAAAATATATAAACAATTGCTGCAAAATGTTTTTGCTTCTTGGAGCCTTTATTGTATACCAATCAAATAAGACAGTGTGATAAAAGTTTAAATAAATTTAATATTTTGTTTACAATTATTTTAGTTTATTAGCTAACGAAAAAAAAATGTTTTTTATTTCTCATTAACTGACCGTTTTTATGTTAATAATTTTTTTTTATAAGCAAATGGACTATTTTAATATTTAAAACATAAAATTCTGCAAACTTCATTTATGATTTCAAAAGTTTTTTTTTAATAATAATTTATAATTTTTGTATATTTGACAGTTGAATAATTAATAAATAAATAACTGTAACTGTAACATAACACTGGTCTGCAAAAAAAAATTTTTTCTCTCCTTGCTTTCATGCATGAATTCATCTTATTTTATGCTCTAAACACGGAATCTGATAAACAAATAAGTACCACACGTAGGTTTTTAATTTAATATATATTTCATCAAAAAACTATATTATTAAAGTATAAATTATTATTAGGAAATAAAAAAATGTGGCGGCTTGAGTTTTACAGTAAAAAATCCTAAATTATATTAACAAAACTAATAAATATCGTCAGTTATTTCATTATGGAGTGATAGAATTTGAATTATAACCTAAAATCACATAAAATTAATTTTAAAAGAACTGTCAAACTTCTATTTTATATTTATTGACTCTACTTAAAAAAATACTCAAACCACACATCAAATACTTAAATCCAATGTAGAGAACATGAAATTTATGCAAAATTTACCAAAGTATTTGATATAAAAGGTAAACAATTAAACGACAAGTTTTCACTGAACTGTTGTAGTGTCACAATGAATACTGCGCATGCGCGTATTTACTAGCATAAAAATCACCTTCGGCACTTCCCTCCTTTCTCTTAGAACTCTCTGAAACTCATTTTGTATCTATATTTACTTTTTGTAACGTTGACGAATAAAAAAATTGAAAAAAAAAAAACAAAATTTTGAAATATAAAAAAAAATCATATCGAAAAATCTAGACGTGGTAGAAAAAATCGGCCAACGGGGATAGATTCAAAACGTTTGAATCATTATATTTATCATAAAATTTTTTAAAGGAGGATTTCATTGCCAACCAGTGATAATTTATAGATTAACAAAATTGCCTTGAAGTGCAATAACCGAATTTTGATTATAGTTATAATGTGAGAAAGTTTGAAAAATATCCAAAAAAAAATTCTTCAATTTTTATAAACACATGCAGAACCCATAAAATAATAGAACAAAAATGACCTGAATATTTGTTGACGTATCTCTAACAGTTTAAAAGTTATATTAGTTTTTAATTCAGCAAATGTTGCTGCAACTTTAGCAAAATTAGAAATAACTTTGATGAACAGGTCCTATTTGTAATTTGTAATTTTCAAAACTTAAAAAAAATAAAGAAAACTTTGTTTATAAAACAATCTTAATATAATAAACAATGAAATTGTGAAAGAAAAAAAATTGTTAATTTGTAGAGAACTCTCAAATATGATTTAACTATTAAAAATTGTTATTAAGAATAAAATTAATCATAAATGACAGTTCTTCATGAAGTTGTAAAAAAAAACATTTTTTTTAGTAAATAAATGTCTTTTGTTAACATAAAAACTGTAAATTAATGACACATGAAAAAAAATTACAGCATTACATTAACTTCAAAAAATAATTATAAGCAAAGTATTAAAATTTATTTAAACTTTTATTACACTGTCTTATTTTATGGACATACAAGAACGGCTCCACTAAGCGAAAAAATTTCCGGAAAAAGTTGTTAATTACCAATGGTCTACTTTATTGGAAAGTTAAGTTTAATGAAAAATTCCAACAGGAATCAGTTTTTTGAAGTGCTTAAAATATACCATAATTTTTTTAGATTTTTAAATCTACTTTACATACCCAAAATGTTTTTTTTATTGCAAGTTACTAACCTACGACGTTATGATATGAGGACGACAATTTTTAACGTTAAATTAAAATTATTAATGAGTGAGGTACAGTTTTTTTTTAGTAAATTTCCTACTCCTTATTTTCAAAATCCAAAAAAATTATTAGTATACGAACTATAAGCAAAAAACCAAATCCGCTTATTGACTTTTGACATGTCAATGTACCAGTCCGATTTTTTCGTACAATGATTTAGATATAATTCCGAACGGAATTAGCTATGTTAGTAATGGTATGTTTATTTAACTAGACCACCATGGCGCGTAGAGTTCTATACTTCTTCAACCACGCTGTCGGCATATTTCCGACGGAAAGACTAAACCCGAGGAAAAAGTTCGTTTGGATCGTCTATTCCGTGGTTATACTGTGCTCCATTATCTACAGCATTTACGACGTCGTGAAGGATGCCGACATACTCATCGACAACGTTCTCACGTCTAGGCTTTTCCTCCTCTACCAACTTTTCCTAGGCACGTGCAACACCACCATTACGGTGACCTTTACCGTTTGGTTAGAAGAGGTGATTTCTATCGCTGAAAGCTTTCGATACTTGACGCCTGCCAGAAGAAACCTGACCAAGAAATGCGCGTTTATCTTGATATTTGGAGGATATTTGGTCCACACTGTGATGACATTCGTCTTCAATAAGTTCTACCCTGTAGATCTATCCGAATACCGTATGTCGATCGCTCTGTTCGTTCTAACGATGATCGTGAACAGATACGCTGACACTGTTGACTCTTTTAACGCTTCCGTATCGAAAGTTGAGTGTCACACCGAGTTGAGAGGACTGAGTCTCATGTACGACCGCACTTGCGACTCGGTAGAAAAGTTTAACTCCACGTATGGCCCGTTGCTGTTCACCATGATCTTCACGCTGATATTCTCGAGCCTATTCTACGGCGCAGTGATTCTGGTGCCCAGCAACAAAGAGTTTAAGATCTCGAATACGGTTTACTTCGCTTGCAATCTGGTGAGTATTTCGGGACATATAAAAATAGTGCTTGAATGTAAGGAAGGATCACAGTATCCAGTGTAGGATTGCTTTCGACTTCATTGGAAGGCTTTAATGTGGAAATTATTAGAAAGAAGAGCAGAGGTAAGGTGTATTAATCCTGTAAACAATAAAGTTGATGATCGATGCTTTCTAGTGATAAGATAAGAACGGGAGGTTATTATTAGTTTCCAACTCAATGGTAAAATGTATGTTAGGGTGTATAGAGTTTAAATGTCTAAGAAAATCTACTAGGGATTCTTGACCATGAGGCCAAATAATAACAGTATCATCGACGTAGCGTTTCCATAATTTTGGTTTTAGATGAAAGGTGTCGAGAGCCTTCTTATCAAAGGCTTCCATAAATGTATTCGCTATGATTGGTGATAGTGGAGAACCTATATCTGTTCAAGACGTTTGTTCAAAAATTTGACCGTTATAAGAAAAATATGTTTTTCAATAAAGAAGGTTTGGTTTTTTTCGATTATAGTGACGTAGTATATCAAGACTTCTTACCACAAGGTCGCACCGTACTACCTTGAAGTTATGCACCGTTTGTAATCACTCATCACCTGATATGGACCCCTGCGACTTTTTCCTGTTCCCAAAACTCAAGACAACTATGAAATGAAGGAGGATTGGAACGGTTGAGGAGATCAATAGAAAATCGCTGGAAGAACTCAAGGCTATACCAGAAATTGCTTACCAGAAGTGCTTCGAGGGTTGAAAAAAACCTTGGCATAAGTTAATACTTTTAATAAATACTCGGTAGAAAAGTTTAACTCCACGTATGGTCCGTTGCTGTGCACCATGATCTTCACGCTGATATTCTCGATAATTAAAATTTTAAGCACTTAAAAAAAATAATTTTTTTGTTAAAATCAAAATTTTAAAAAATCGTTTGGGGGATCAATCATAACTACTTATAAAAAAATATACATAGATTAAATTTTTATGATCAAGTGGTAAATGGCGGGTCCACTTGACGTGATCTTACTCAGTTTTATTAGGGACGTTAATGATCAGAGTTTTTAAATGGTACCTTTTATGGGGGAGGAGCTCTTGCATATACGAATATTAAAAAATAAATTAAAAAACAAGAAGTCTTTTGGATCCTATGGCATACCAACGTTTTTATTAAAAAGAGTATTGGCTTCAGAGAAAATAGAAGGAAAGTCTAAATTCAGCTAGTCAACGCATAGAGATGGGCGTCCTTCAAGGTTTAGTTTCAGGCCCTGTACTCTTCATATTGTATGAAATGTATATTGGAAATTTTACTTGATACGCAAGCATATATATATATATATATATATATATATATATATATATATATATATATATATATATATATATATATATATATATATATATATATATATATATATATATATATATATATATATATATATATATATATATATATATATAGATATATATATATGATGGAAAAACGCTCGCGCTCCGAAAACACTTCGAACACTCGAGCGCGAGCATTGAAGATGCCAAGTGAGATTTTGGCGAAACGTCTGCAGGATTCCAGTCGGAGTTCAACGAGCGAACGGATGATATCCCGGAATATAGTGTCATCACATATATATATATATATAAATATATATATATATATATATATATATATATATATATATATATATATATATATATATATATATATATATATATATATATATATATATATATATATATATATATATATATATATATATATATATATATATATATATTAAATATAATAATAATAATTATTATTAAAAGTCAAAATTCAATACGAGCAGTAATATATCCGAAAACATCCGATTGTTCCTGTGAAGTAATATCCCGGAAAATAAGTAGCTCAGATCTGTGGAAAAAGAAACTCACGTATAATTAGGTATTTACACAAGGGAGTAGAAAAAGAAGTATTGTGCTGTTAAGGGAATCAAAGGTCTCGCAAAAATGTAATCATCATAGTTAAAGACCTTCTGGTTTGTTCCTCCATTACCCTTCCAAGAATCTTTGACAATGTCGCTCGCCATTGGTTAAAATTTTGATTACTTTGGATGATTCCATAATGTAGCTAATGTCGGTCGTTTTGGTACCTTGTAAGTAGAAAATAAGTGGAAGATATGAATTATTAAGCGCTCTTTTTTAGATTAACCAATCGATTTGATAGAGGAGTCGACCATTTTCCGCACTACGTCGTCGGTCCGAAATGACGTTTGAATATTCTCAAAAATCCGTGATATGGCTGGGCATCGGCATTTTCCTCGGTATCTGTCCCCCGATTCGCCAATCTCGATGCTTGAAAACGTTCTTCTGGATTTACAGTACGATTTATTTGGTGATGTTTTGCGTCGGGCTCGTTTTATTCGTGGAAAAACTGGATTCGTTTCCGATTAGGTATCCCATTGCTGTTAACTTGAAGATACAGGCCATGGTCACCTTCATACTGAACGTCATGTTGAACTTCATAACCGTCCTTTGGAACAAAGAGCTGATCGACATTCTGAACGAACTCGCAAAGCTCAGGATTAAGCTGGGTCTGCGCGACGGCGGCTACCGGCTCATATTCGCGGGAATTTCGATCTGGAAGGTGTTGGAGGCGGCCATCACCATCTCGAACGGCATGTATTCTTTCTACCACGTGGTGACCCACCTCGCCGATTACCGCATATCTTTCGTGGTATTCGTTGTCGTGGCGTTCATCCACGAATTGTCCGACTTTCTGGAAAGCTTCAACGAGCATCTCGATCAATTCCTAACGGCGAGATCTGCATTGGTGAGCCTGTATAACCCGGCGTGTGACGTGATCGAAAAATTTAACACCGAAATGGGGACCTTCATGTTCGTCGCCATATTGCGGATGGCCGTGGGCTGCGTGCTAGGCTTCGCGATAGCTGGCTACGCGGAGGCTGGTTGGCATCAGGACCATATGATAGTCGCCAGCGTTTTCATCGCCGTTTCGGTGGCGGTGAGTCGTTTTAATGCGGCATCGTGTCACGAGGTCATGACTACGATTTTGAACTTCATTATTTTAATATACAATACAACTGCTCTCAGCGTGTCTTTATTTATTTATTTACAAGACAATCTACCTGACAGATATTCATTATTGCACCACAAAGAAAAACAAATTTTTATTTGTAGATTAGATATATCTTCAATATTTTTTTTCTACTCCTGTTTGTAAAATACTTAATTAAGTACGCACCGATCTAGCGCGCGGGAAGCATCACTTTACCACGTCAGTTTCGTTTCCCACGTATTTCCGGGATTTTACCGAACGGATTTGGGAGCGATCGGATGTTTTCGGAGATATTTCCCACGCTGACGGTCATGTCAGTGAATGTATTCGTGTTGTTTTGCGAAAATGTTACCAAAAACTAACTGTCGTAGAAAAAGTATAGTTTGCAACACGTTCGGTAAACTTTTTAACTCACTCGTACTATTTTTTACTCCCGTGCAAGAAGCGTCACTTTACCACATCAGTTTCTTTTCCCACGGATCCGAGCCACTTCGATTTCCGAAATTTTACCGCACGGGTTTCGGAGCAATCTGATGTTTTTGGATGTTTTACCGCACAGCTTGAATTTTGACGTTTGTCAATTGTGACGGTCATGTCAGTGAACGTATTGGTCTTGTTTTCCAAAAAGTATCCAAGAACTAACGGTCGTAGAAAAAGTATAGTATAGTATTAAACACTCACTCCGCTGTGTTCCGCTCGTGCCAAATTAACTCGTGTGTCAAATACCATTTACTGCACTTTGTGCATAATATACTATTATTCCACATAAATTTAAGTATTTTAAAATTAAGCAAGCCAGTTTAAATTAAGCATTTTAATTCACTTAAAAAAAGAATACGATTTTTTTAAGACATCGATTGCATTGTAGTAAATAGTCTTGTTTTAAAATGTTTCAAATTTTTATTCCCAAATTAAAAATTCAAAGAAACAATATGCATATTTTGAAAATGTGCTGCTTTCTGTTTTAAACGACCAAAAATCCAAAGAAAAAAACGCAAAACGTAACACAAACAAATAATTGTCTCAAAATTCTAATGTAATAAGTTTGAAATTCTCAATTTGAAAATACCGTTAAAATATACTTTCCACTATAGTATATAATTATACTGTTTAGTTTGAGCCTGGCGAAGTGTAATGATTGGCCATACGAATTTTTAGTGCGTAACAATTTCGAAAGCAATCTTGTTTATAGATTCGTGAGTCAAATGCCAATATAATATTTCGGCATTTTATTGTCCTGTGTAATTCTATGAATCTATTCATAAATAGTCTGTCTCAATCTTCATCGTGTTGGCTTTCGAAGGACCCTCCTCAATAAAACTTTAACGATGTTATTACCTATTGTGATTGGGTAAAATCATTAACAAATAATTTATTCCTACTTGACTGACAAGGCAGGGGTGAGCCAGGTACATTTTTTATTTCTGATGTATTTTTTGAGAGTGTGTAAGAAACTTTAATCAATAGAGGACTTATTAACAAAGAAGCTTTAAAAGAAACCAGTCTACTTACAAAAACGCCAATATAGTCGATAAGAAGGAAAATGTATTGCCACCCTATATAGAGGTGTTTGTAATATGGGATTAAAGTACCGCAAAATAAAAACAAAGGCAAGTAGTAATGGAATCACACAGATTACGCACTTGGAGATTTAACTAGCTCCAAGAAATTAAGAGACATAGATTAGACAATAGATCCATAATTTAGCTTGATGAAACGTGGTTCAATCACAGGACACTGTATCCAAAGAAAGGGTTGATTTCGCTCAAAACTGTCAGACCTTACCTTCAAGTAAAGGAAAACGCATCACGATAACACATGCTAGATCAGAAGATGGATTTGTTCCAAATTGCTTGCTGTGGTCTGCAAAGAATATTAAGGATTCCAGCTTGGATTATCATGAGGATACAAGTGCTGAACTTTTTGAAAATTGGTTTCAGAACAACAATCTTTTAAA